CTTTCTCAAATGTGAGAAGTGTGGGAAATTCAGACACTTCTCTTGGCAGCTGGGAGAAGTGCTCTGTAAATGAGCTAACAGAGTCAGATATGGAACTGGAAGCTGGCTAAAACTTCAAACTTCGAACTCGTGCTGTAATATTTTACTACAGTAAATATGCACCACAAAGGAAGAGAGAGATTCGAACCTGAAATATGTATTAGGGACTCAGTCTTTTAGTTACAGAAAAAGGTATTCATTTTGTTTCGAATGTTACTGTATATCAGGGGTGTTCATATCCGATCCAATCCGATTGATCCGATTTAAACTGATTCAATCTGATTAAAAATTAAACCAAATCGGTATAAAATTAGATTGGTTTGGATTATAAAAATTTAAAATCGATATAATTGATTTGGTTTGTAATTTTATTTTCAAACTGTTCGAACCACCCGATTATAAAAAAAAATCGATTATAAGATAACTTAATTAAATAATATAATATTTTTATAATATTTCAAATTTTCTTTTTCTTATTTTACAAGATAATGACTTTGTTGATTTAATTAAAAATAAAAATAACATATCTTATATTTCTTAATTTATTTTTTTTAATTATATACCTAAATTTTAATTCTAAATTTTAAATTCCCCTACAATTTTATCTTTATAAGTGAGTTGCAATTTTATTCTTAAAACCCTACCTTCTTGAGTAGCGTGCACTTGTCAAGGTTGTCGTCGTTATTTTGCTGGGTTTATTCTTAAACACATAATATGGGTGTCGACACCATGGGTTAATAGTCCAGAATCAAACTTTCTGTTTTCTGTTTTGTGTTGACACGTAATTTAGAATGTTAGCACCATACGTTCAGCGTTGAACATTCAAGTTTTTTATTTTATTTCAAATCCTACTTTTGTTTCAAATCCTACTTCTATTCCAATTAGGGTTTTTAAAATCTTATAAATACCCATCCAAATTCAGTATTAAAAGAGCTTGGGAGGCTGGTGGCAGCTCTCTTTTGGGTATTCTTGGAGATCAAGATAAAGATTTAAAAATTTGTTTATAATTTGTAATTTTTTTATTATGTTTCTATTTATTTGGATATTAACGTATTTTATATTTTTGTTTTTTATTTAATGTTAAATTTATTTACATTATCTCATATATTTAATAGTGTTAAAAACAGATCAATCCGACCGAACCACACTAATCTGATTTAAATTGAATTGGTTTGGTTATCATATAATAGTGGATTGAATTGGTTTAAAAATTTTACTAATCGATTAAATTAAATTGAATTAAAAAATGTTAAAATCCGAATCAAATCACACCACGAACACCCCTACTGTATATGATGGTGGCTTCTCCCTTGGAATTTAGTCCGGCTTAAACTTACCAAGGAAAAAATAGCTTTATTTCTATTCTGAAAGACTTTAGAAATTAAGATTTTTTTAATAAAATTTTATTAAAACAAATTAATTTTACATTTTTTTACTTAATTTTTTTATAATACATGCTGTTATTTATTTTTTCATAAAAATTATATATTGTAAAAAATTTTAAATATATTCATGTGGGGTAACAAAGTATATATTTTTTAAAATACATGATACATTACATGTTATCACAAATAAAATGAACCAGTAATTATTTTCATCAATTACCATTGAATCTGCTAATCAATAAGTCTATATTTGGATTGAAAGAGTTGAGAGGGGAGAGAAGGAGAGTAATGGAGATATCTCTTTTATATTGTTTAGATAACATCATTAAGGGGAATGAGAGAGATATAAGGGCAATAGGTGATTTCTAAATTCTTTATTTTTAATTTCTTCAATTTAAAAAGGTTCAAAAGAATTAAATTTATTTTTATTTTCTTTTATTACCATTTTTTTTC